GACTGTTCAGCAACCCAGGAAAAGAAAACAGGATGTGGCATTGGTCTCTGCCAGGGGTGAAATACACTGAACATGAAACCAGATGGGGACCTTCTGAACCAGGTGATCAAAATGAAAATGGGAACTGTGTGAAGACAAGAGGAAACTGGGCAGATGTCAAATGTTACCGAACTATGTGGTTCATCTGCTACGATGGTGAGAATATGTGGATAATAGTCTGATTTGATAATATAACTGAACTGAAAGAGAAATGGAGAGAAAGCATGTTTGAGGAATCATACAAATGATGTGTCTTTCTGTATTTCTTCAAATGTTTGTGGTGATGGAAATTTTGTTTTGATGTTTTTCCTTAACGGGAAAGAAGAGAGGCGGTAAATCGATCCATTTGATTGAGAAGAAGATAACCTGGACAAAGGCTCAGAACTACTGCAGAGATCACTACACTGACCTGGCCAGTGGACTCGATCAGGTGGATGGGGAAGAATTTAAGATCCTGAATAAGTCTCAGGGCTCTCCGATGCAACAAATATAATTTTATTTGTTCTAAACAATAAGTTTTAAACCTCTCTTACTCACTGCAGGTTAATTACTGCAGCAGAAATAATTTGCTTTAATGATTTTTATCAAGCACTTAATGATTAAAAAATAACTATGTTGTAAGTATGATTAAAAATTATGATTTAAAACTTACCATGTTATAAACATTTTTTTCTGGATGTGATCTTTTATTCTAGAGAGAATACAGTGTTTTAAAAAAAAGCTCAGTCTTAACCATCTGCAGCAGTTAAATTGATCCTTATAACAGAAGAAATACTTTTATCATTTTATCTATAACTTTCTAATAATAAAGTATTATGTGTATTCAGGTGTTTTCATCGTGTTGTTTCTTTTGCAAAAGGAACGGTTCTCAAATAATATCCTTCAACACTCATCATTGTCAGGTAATAGTAGATATTTAACCACAGAACTAAATAAATAAAAAAAAAAAGAACAGTTATTTAATCAGGAAGGAATGTGAACAGGTGAGTGACGAAGTGTTTCTCCCACTGAAAAAGCTACATGCAGATGCAGATGCAGAATCAGGTTTTTGGATTTAAGGTCATTTATGTGAGTTTGCCTGTGAGTCAGAAATAAATCAAATCTGGTCAGTTGTAATTTTTGAACCTTGTTGTTGCTTCCCTTTAGTGTCTGTATCCTGAACACCTACAGAGAAGATAACCGTTAAACCTGTTTCACTCTCCACTGTCTACATTCTTCTACCG